ATGGGAGAAACGCGGTAATACCAATAACAATCGAAATGATAATGATAATAATAATAATAATATTAACAACGGCAATAATAATAATAATTATAGTAATAATAATAATAATAGTATCGACAACAACAACAATCATCGTCATCGTCGTCAGCGTGACGTCACGTTAATTGATTCATAAAGATGATGATTATGACGACATTGCCAATGTGGGGAGAATTATGATAGCCATGATTTGAAGACGACGACGATGATGTTTGATGATGAAGAAGACGATGACGATGATGATGTTTGATAATGATGAAGACGACGATGAAGATGATGACGAGGATGATGATGATGAAGACGACGATGACGACAATGATAATGATGATGACGATGAGGATGACAATGATGACGATGACGACGATGATGACATTTGATGATGATGAATTGTGGCAATGATGATGATGATGTTGCTGTTGATGACGAAAGAAAAGGAAGGATGTATCTTTACATTTTGCTACTTCTTCTTCCTGTTCATCTTCTGTTTTCTCTTCCTCCTCATCATCATTATCATCTCCATCATCATCATTATCCTCTCTATCATCATCATCATCATTATCAAAATCATCATAATAATCATCCAACTTAATTGAATTCAAATCATTAAATAATTGTATGTAAGTTAAATCAATGGCGCGATAATGCATGCCAGCAAGCTCTTAAATGCTAACAAAATGTACTGCCTTAAGTTCGTTGAGTAATGTGTGTGTGTGTGTGTGTGTGTGGGAATGTGTGTGTATGTGTGAGTGAGTGTATGTATGTGTTTATGTGCATGTGTGAGTGTGAGTGTATGTGTGAATGTGTGTGTGTGTGTATATATAAATGCGAATGTATATATATATATATACTTGTTAAGGAGCATACGTCATAAAACCGGCAACGAATTAGAGGCGGGAAAGAGGTCACGTGAATTAATACCTCGTACACGATATGCTGGTTTAATTATAGATGCCAAACGACTGCCTCGGGATTTCCCGCCAAATGCATGCTTCAGATGCGTGCTCAGGAATGTGGAAAATGATGACGTCATCGATTTGGGAGGTGCCGTGAGGATGACGATAATGACGATGATGAAAATGACGATCAAGATTTTAATGATGAGGGTGCAGCAGTTATTGAGATTTATCGTTTGTGACGAGGGAGGGGGGGTTAATAATTGGTGGTTGCCATTCGCTGGTTGGTGGGTTTTTTGTCATCGTCACCATAATCATCATCATCAGCATCATCACCACCATCATCACCATCATCATCATCATCATCATCTGATCGTCTTCATCATCGCTAACCTATTTTCATCTTGTTCATTTTTGGTCGATATGTACAAACATTCTTCAGGTTCCAAATAACTGAGTGAATGGATGAATGAACAAAAAAAATGAATAAATTAATGAATGAATGTTTGAAGGAATAAATAAAGGGTGAATACACAAATGCTACAAGTAAATAAATAAATAAGCAGGCATAGAGTTGACAAGGAATTAAAAATTACAACGCACACACATACAGACACACATAAACACACACGCACACACATACAGACACTTACATAAATGATAACACAAAAGGCGTACAAAAATGCTTTTAAAGTGCACTTAAGTCAGCACAAAACTTACTCCTCATAGCATTTTAATCACACACTTAGAACCTTAAACACAATGGGAAAAAAATCTGATCTGGAGGATGTTAAAAATAAAAGTTGAAAAAAGTGGGTGAAATTTAAAAAAATTAAAACAGAAAAAAACAAACAAAATTAAAAAGGATCGAAATGAGAGTAACAGAGAGAGGGAGAGAGAGAGAAAGAGAGAGAAAGAAAGAGAGAGAGAAGAGGGAGAATGAAAGAAAAACATTTAGAGAAGAAATGTAGTTAAACCGTTGGTAAATGGTCGAAACATTCACCGCGGACTCATAAAGTTCTCGTCAAACTTGAACCCAAGCATCAGACAATGATAGAAAATGACCAACGCTTGCATGGAGCAAGCTGATTGGTCGAAAGGTCTGTGACGTCGTTGCGGCTTCTTGACGTTGATTGGTGGGCTTTGTTGATTTTACGGCAGCCATTACCGTAATAGTTTCGAGGCAATTACGAGAGTTAATATAAAGTTAGTTTCGAATTTAGATAAAAGCAATTTTGCCGTAGAGCGTTGTAAAAAATTCATCGTCTTCCTCTTCCTCATCTTCTTCTTTTTCCTTATCGTCATCATCAACTTCTTCGTCGTCATCATCATCATCATCCTTGTCATCATAATCATAACCTCTTCTTTTTCGTCGTCATCATCATCATCATCATCATCATCCTTATCATCATAATCATAACCTCTTATTCTTTGTCATCGTCATCATCATCATCATCATCACCATCATCATCATCATCATCATTGTCATCGTAATCATAACCATAATCATCATCATCGTTGTTGTTGTCGTTGTTAAAGATAGATTGTATGATGAACTCGTGGGAATTCACAATAATATTTAGATTATGTATTTTTGCATTCAGAAAAAAAGACAGGCTTAGTTTTTATGAACAAATAAATTTAGAAAAAATAGATTTTGAGAATGTGAATGATAATAATAATAAGAAGAGAAAATAAGAAAAATAATAACAATAATAAATGTATTAACAACAATATAAGATAACTGATGCGAAAAGGTGAATGAAAATAACTTTGAAAATCTATTTGAAGTAATTTTTTTAAAATTTTTGAAAAAAAATTGAAAAAATATATAAAAATGTTATGGAGTGAGTGAGAAATCATTAAAGATTGACTGATTGTATCTTTAAAGGAATGAAATTGTAAAGGAATTAATTGATGTAGCGACTTGGAATGATTTGATGGATTGATGGCTCACTGCACTGTTTGACTATTGGGTAGGTAAGTGAATGAGTGGTTAGATAGAAAAATGAATGAATGAATAATTGATTGAATGAATGAATTAATGACTGACTGAATGAATAAATGAATGAACGAATGTATAAACAAATAAATAGTGAATGAATGGGTAGATTGATTGGGAGGTATGTAGAGTATGTAGATGAATGGATTTATAAAATTCTTTCAAACTAACTTCCCCTGTTAACTTGAGCATTCAACAGCCACAATTATAAGAATGACAATAATAGCAACAGCACCACCACTAATAATAATAACAATAATAATAATGATTATTATTATTATTATTATTATTATTATTACTTGTCGGGTTTTCCAGTAGCGAACGCCGTCATTCCACCAACGGCCGCGTAAACCCTTCCGTATCCATCAATCCATTTCCATTGATCAAACATACATCTACCTAAATATGTGTGTGCGTGTGTGTGTAAGTATGTGTGTGCGTGAGTTTGAGTAGATGTGTTTGTGTGTATGTGTGTGTGTGCGTGAGTGTATGCGTGAATGTGTGTGTGTGTGTGTGAGAGAGAGAAAAGTAGATTTAAAATTCAGCCAATCACAAAACATTTGAAATACATTTTTATAATGTGTACAGGGACGTATGCGAGTGTGCATAATGTAAGCAAGTGTTCTTGCGTATTAAAGTGTATGTGTACGTGTGTATGTGTTTGTGTTTGTGTATGTGTTTGTGTGTGTGTGTGCGTGATGTGTGATAACATCCATTCAAAACATCATCACCCTTGTTACGCTAGCTTCCAAGAACACGATAAAAATTAATAAGAGCATTATGACGTCACCTTCATGACTGCCACGTGATCGCCTTGCTCCGAGCCAGTAGCCAATCAGATTGAGGGAAGGTTCTATAAGAAAATTTTCAAAAAGAAATATTATTTTTTTGTAGAAATTGTTTTTTAAGTATTTCTTAGTTGCTCGTTAGTCTTCGAAACATTAAAAAATCTCTACGAAATAAAAGATGTTTAAACAAAAATAAAGAAAAAGAGAGAGACACAGAAAAAAAAGAAAGAGAGAGAGAGAAAGAAAAAGAGAGAGAGAGAAGAAAAGAAAAAGAGAGGAAGAGAGAGAGAAAGTAATCAATGCGATTTACTCAATTGATTTACGACTCCCATATGCCGTTTTAAACAGGGTGCCACAAATAATAACTATTATCAATAATAATAACAATTGTAATATAATAATAATATTAATATTAAAAATAATAATAACAATAACAGCAATGGTAATCAGAGTTTCTTGGGATTTTTCTCATCATTCGTAAATTTTTAATGTTGCCTCAAGTTTTAACATGATAGTTGTTTTTAAACATTTCGTCGTCGTCGTCATCATCGTCGTCGTAATGGGTATACATCACTATCATTATCATCATCTTTGCCATCATCAGCATCATCATCATCAGCATCATCATCATCATCATCATCACCATCATCGTTTGTGGTCGTCTGTGGTTGTTACGATAGATACGTTGATGACAAATAAATTGTCATTTTTCACATGCAAAGATGATAAAGATGATGATGATGATGATGATGATGACGACGATGATGATGATAACGT